GGAGGGGGGGTCGACGTTATTTCTAAGACAGCAGTGGGGGTGGGGAGGTAGGGGGGGTGGGGTAAGAGCTATTTTCTTCTTTTCTTCTTTTCTCTTCTGCCAAGCATTTTTAAATACAATACCAGTCGCACGTTCAAGGGATATTTTCACTCTTGAGAGACATATCCAGCGAGTAGGTGCCTGGAGTCAGRAAATAGAGGATAGAAAATGAGTGCTGGGTGGTTTTAATCTCTAAAACTTGTGCTTATTTAATATAGCCTTCTGTACAATAACATGATGAAATGCACAACGATTGTTTTTCGCACCTATTTTGACATCTTCTGAATATTATTTCCGTTCCGTAGTTTACCTTTAAAAGGCATTCAAATTAAACATTTATATCCCACTTTCAATATTTTGGTCGAAAAGCCGCGCTTAAAAATGCTGAATAGGAACACAAGGCACAAAAGGATATTCTAGCGTTTCCCTAGGATCACGTGATTAGTCAACCAAAGTTCAAAATGGGGTTATAAGTCCTTACGTGCCATGTACAAGGGAAAAAAATAACGAATTTCTATTGGCTAAGAGAGCATCTGGTCGATCAAGCTCGGCCACAGTCCCTTTATCCATCACCAATACACGGTCACTGTCCATAATAGTTTCAATCCTATAAATAGATGTGAAAATATGAATTATTGATGAGAAGATAGGATTGCTTCAGAGAGACAACTATTAACGACTCTTTCAAGCATGTGACTTTTCGGAGCGCAACGTGGGAACCYATGACGAAAAATGCATGACGTAGTGATTGCGTAGCGAAGTGAGCGGTTTCRCGTATATTCAGGCTATTTTCGTCCTTGTCATTGGGATGATTTTTACGAGGTAAAGTAAATTTATAGGAGGAATAAATGTTTTTGTCATCTGCAAGTTGGAATAAAAAGCGCGTCAATATGCCACGTATTTGTTTACACGGATTATTAAAGTGCACATGACACCTTTTAGAAAAAAAAACTTTTATCCGAAAGGTAACACGCTGCCAAGCATTTCTGTTAAGGAAGAAATTGATTTCTGAGTTAAAGACATTTGAAAATTGAAAATGCAAATGAAGTGACGTCAACTAAGGAATTGATCCAGACTTTATACATTGTTTTCGCTATTCTGTTCTTGGTTGAAGAGCTCAAATCATTAATCATAGTAATAATTGAGAGCTGAAAATGCTTTTTCCAGTGTAACAAAAAGAATAACGTCCTCTTTTATGATTTATGAATTTGTATATTAAATCATTCCTTAGTAGACGTCACTTAATTTGCATTTTCTAAGTTTCAATAGTCTCCTTCACGGTTACCTGCGCCATCTTGAAAGGTAGCCGTGCCTTTGCATCGAAGCGAGACAACCGTTGAGCGTGCAATGATAGAAACCTTCTTTCACACCTACAGACAATTATTCACAGGTTTCTATCATTGCACGCTCAACGGTTGTCTCGCTTCGATGCAAAGGCACGGCTACCTTTCAAGATGGCGCAGGTANCTATAACTTTATTTCATTTCTATATCGTGTTTATCATAGTGCCATGCGGTCTTCATATTCATATCTTTACATTATTCTATTACCGCAACCTTAACATCTATTTCACCCCGACCTGCTCCCAGTCTGGCCTTGTAGCTCAGCTGGTAGAGCATCGGTGTACAAATCCGAAGATCGTGGTTTCGAATCCCAGCGAGGTCGGAATAAAATTAATTTTTCCGAATTTATTCCTAAGGGACTTCTCCCGGAATTGCCTCCTTCTAAGCACTATAACTTTCTTTCATTTCTATATCAATTGAGAAAACACGTCGAAGGATTTCACCAACAATACCACAAGAAAGGCCATCGTCATCTTTGCCCTTACTGTGACCGTCCTTACGTTCATCTTCACGAGATGTATGTTCATATATACAGWAAACACAGGCCAGCGCGGTGCCAGTAGAAACCGTAGACGCGTAGAGCTCTATATATTCAAACGGCTCTTTTAGGAGCCAACAACTAAATAAAAATCATGACCAAAGCTTGACACAAATATAAACCTTTACAATTAGCGAGGATTTTAAATATCCCGCCAACAAAAGCGTTTGTTATTGATGACTTGATAACAGAAGTCACTGCATGACTTTAATTCTAGCTAATTCTCAGAGAATCAGTTTCATAGGCAGCAATATTTATACAAACTAGAGAATTAGCTGAACGTTTCATTGCTGTTTGTAATAACCAAAAGCACGAGATGACAGCAGTTTTCTTTCTAGGGAAGGGGTTTATTTTTGTTGTTGAGACCAAGTTGTTTTGCTTGTGACCTTGACAACGGCAATCGGTATCAACTAGTCAGAAGTTTGTCAGTAAAAAACTATGAGTCACCTGCTTGCAACTCTCAAATATAAGAACATTTGTTTTAACTAGCGAATCCAGCTTCAGTTTTCATACAAAACATGGTTCCTTCATATGACGAGTGGAGCCGCGTAAAGCGGCGGACCAGAGAGTCGAAGGAACTAAAATGTAGTAGAGCATAATCGAAGCATTCAACTTATAGTCATGCAAGAAAATGACATTTAAGATGCAAACTGTGTGAACCATGAATCAACCAAGCTTTCTAACCAAACTTTAAGTTTTAAACTTCGCGCCACGACTAGAAAATCGCTTATTTGACTACAACTGTGAAAGTTTTTTCGGAAAAACTTTGCACGAGGAAAATGTTGTAATAATCTACTTAAAGAAAGTGTGATTTAGTCACGATAAATGTTTACTATGAAATTAGAACTATAATTCTTTACTCGTTTACCGTAAAACTTTTTGCGACACAAARCAAACAAAATTTGTTATGGTTCATTGCCCGAAAATCTTGACACTTGACTTTGACAGCTAAGGGATTTCTAAAGTCCCCAAGGTTAGTGATTGACAGCTGTCAAATCTTTGCWAAGGGAGTTGGCTAAATCCCTTAACGGGATCACCAACCAATCAAAAACTATCAGAATTAGTTATGCATACTAATTTATGCCAGAAAACTAAAATGTCGCCTAAAACAATAGAATTCTGCCCAATGGTCTTAATTCTTTAGCCTCCTTTTGTGCTGTCCCCTCTCATATGTATATAATGTACTTTTTGAACGTCATACTCTGAGTCGGGTGCCGAAGGTGTTCGTAGTCACAACGCCGTTAAAAGCTATCTAGACACTAGACCGGACCGCGTGATGTTTTCCCTCAYTTAATTAAGGCTCGCTGCGCTGAAGCATCAATAATGCATTTAAACATATCACAACCAAGAAAGTGCTAGAGTTCATTGMGAACCCGATCTCTAATCGTTTGAACCAAAGTATAATACCTCAGTAATAGTGGTTAGTCTGATGAATTGATTCTGTTTTCTGATTATTTAATTTATAATTTGAATTATCGATCCTTTCCATTTCATTGAAGAGGCGGGACAGGTTTTRAATTTTCCAAGAAAATCTAYCGAAGACCACGCTATCCTCGATGAGCCATTTACGTCGTCGTTACGTGCYTTCACACTTTCCCTATRGGTCCAAGTGGACACAAGCGGTGRTARTCATACYCCGTTCTCGTATGCTTCCAAGTCYCCGTTAYACAGCGAWGCAATAAGCATCTTTATTTATCACTCCGCTGTTGGAACTTCAATAATYGACTTTTTTAGGTAAGTAAATAAAAACATAATATGTTCATTGACATTTCCAAAGAGATCATGTTAAGCGTCTGGTGCTTGGTTCGAATCTGTAGTGCCGTCCAATCTCGAGCCCCAGAATCTTATAGTCCACTGTCAGAGGTATATTCTTGGCGATCATATCGCATAATTTCTGATATGTTATGTACACCTACTTGCAGAAACGTTGTCATAGAAAATAGAACATTTGAATTTAGTAAAAAGGAATAAATTAAAACAAGACAAAAGARARCGTTCAGCCTCAGTGATCTTCTTTTGTCTTTTTTAATTTATTTCTTTTTTACTAAATACAAATGTCCTATTTTCTATGCCAACGTTTTCGCAAGTAGGTGTATATATATGTATATACTTGAAATATGAGTGAAAATGATCATGATTTCTGCATATTACTGTAAGTTTTATCTTTTAGGAATAATTATGGCATTAGCCTTATTGACAACAAGTGGCATCATATCAGCCTTACTTGGGAAAACACMAATGGCAACGCAWAGTTGTACATAGATGGCGTATTACGAAGCTCTTGGATCACAMAGCAAGGGAAAGTCATCAGCAAGGGTGTGCTTGTGCTTGGCCAAGACCAAGACRKCTACAGGRGTGGTTTTGACAGCTCGCAGGCTCTGAAGGGAAATATAGCCAGCGTAAACCTTTGGAGTAGAGTTTTCTCTTCAGGAGAAGTGTCAGCCCTGGCCATGACATGCCCGACTATTGAGGGCGATATTGTACAATGGTCAACTTTGAAGACGAAGGCTGCTGGCTTGGTAAAGCTTGTGTGCTCCAATTTCTGCATGTAACGCACTATTTAAGCCATTCATGGGTCCCCGAATACTATATACACAAATCTGCCCATATCAAATCGAGATCAGGGGTATATRATACAAACAAACTGGACGTGGAGCGTTACTGGTATATTCAAATTATTTCCTTTTCTTTTCGCTCTTAATTTAGTGCTGCTGTATCGTTTTATAAGCTTAAGCTTAAGCTTTTATAGAATGTGTTCATATATAAGAACATTTAGGCTCGATTTGTATAATCAGGTTAAGGTATGCACATGATGCAATTATTTCACTTGTGTTAGGGACTTCTTATAACCCAACAAATGACTTGATGAATGAATAAGATGAAGGAATCTCATTTGTCGGCTCTTTTGGGTCAATTTTATATATATAAAAGCAAAGCAGTAACTTACAAGCATTAGAACTAATTTAAAGCTCAGACTAAGTGTTTTTCGTTTCTGGTTTAAATGATTTCTATTAAATTATCTAATTTATACAATTAGTTSAGAATACGACATACTGAGTACTGCACTTGTGCATTCCTAGACTATTTTTGAATCAATTGCTTAACTTTGAATTCATTTCAGTTGTCTTACAAAAAGACAATCTGAACTGCATTCCTTGACGAGTAAGCAGAGCTGGCACAGTCTTTCTGAAAAATCGTCAACTATTTTTCTTTGGTGACAGAACGAACAATAGTGTATTTCTCTCTAACTTCAGTAACTTCACTAACTCACTAACTTCAGTATTCTGAAACAGCTGTATACAATGCAAGTATCTTTCTTTCACAAACGAGAAATATTTCCAATACTTAAAAATGATTTCATATCAAGATAACAAAGTTTTTCCAATTCTGTCGATATAAAGGCATTCAAATTAACATGTAGTCTTATGTTTATACATTAATTTTTCTTATCTTCTTAAATTAACCAGCTTTGTCGTATCATATTGCTTATTTATAATTTAGAATATGTGTCAGCCGTTGTTATTAGATATGTGTTCATATATAACCACAATGAACAGTCAAACTTGTAACATTTCAACTGAAAAATGTCTTGTTTAAAATTTAAATGTTTGTGTTTTTATTTAAAACTCATTCAAATAAAACATTCATGTTACCTTACAGGAGGCCATAACTAGTAGTATCCATTATGTGCATTGCAAGGGTGTGGTCACAGCAGTTTCATTGTCTTCTAAAGTTGCTACACTAAGCGATAGCAAAGAGATTTCTACTGAAGAGACAAC